CCCCCCCCGGTCTCTCTCTCTCTCTCTCTCAGAGTCTCTCTCTCCCTCTCTCCCTCTCTTGTTCCTCCTGCCCTCAGTTTTCCTCCACTCTTTAGTAAACAACGATGATACCTTTAGAGCCAATCAGATGTGTTCTCATTCCCCAACAATTAAATTACTGCTAAGGAATTTCTTTCCCTTGTTTTCTGAAAAGTGTAAGAGGGTCATCAGATCCGGTTTTTGATGCCTGGACATAACAACGGACACACAGCTTGGTGTCTCTTTTTGAATGGTTTCAAAATAAGATTATCGAATCATATGGATGGTAGCAGACCCCAGCGCCCTCTCATAGAATCCATGCATGAGTGTTTCATGGGGCCTTGCTGCCCTACTCACCACACACAGAAAAGATGAAAAACGTGGCGTTGTATGAACTCGTATCTTTTTTTTTTTTTTTTTTTTTTTTTTTTTTTTTTTTTTTTTAAACGTGGCGTTGTATCTTCCCGTGTTCGGGTGGAGGATTCATTCTCATTCTTCACATTCGGTGAGTAGTGAAGCGCAAGGCCCATAGTCTTTTGCAAACAGAGAGTTTATAGCTGGGGAAAAGTCCATGGGCTGGAAATGATAAACTGCCAGGTAGGTGGGTGGGTAAGGTAGCGAAGAAAAGTGGGCCCCAATAGTCTTGTGCTGTACAAGATAAAACCGTTAGCTACCTACCCAGCCTGTGTGTGTGTGTGTGTGTGTGGAGGGGTGGGAGGGGGGGGTGGTACATAAATAAATGTAACCGTTGATAAACAGGTCATGGGTTCGAATCACGTCGAAGAATCTGTAGCCTGTAGGTAAAGAGGAAGCGGAGAGTTTATTTATGACTGGGAAAAGGCCATGAGATGGAAGGGAGAATTGCTGGGTAGTTCGGTAGAAAGCCAAAATGCCGACGCTGTACAAAGATTACAGGTAGCAATCCACCCACTGCATGTGGCTGAATGGTACACACAATGTCATGTAACTGTCGATAAACAGGTTGTGAGTTCGAGTCCAGACGGAATCAAATGGGTACGATAAGGTCAGGCGCTTACCCTCTATCCTTTCACCCAAAAGAAAGAACAACAGCAGGTAATAAGGCAAACTGCAGGCAGGGCTCGTGAAGGTGAAGAAGGGGATGCTAGTTGTATTCTGCTGTGTATAAGAGCACATGGTAAACTGCAGAAAAAAAAGGAGCTTGGCGAGTCGAAGAATAGGATCATGCCAGTAGTATTCTGCTGTGTGAAAGAGCGGTTCTTTATTGTTTGTGGTGTTGACTTTACCTGCAATAATAGTGAATTCAGGAAAAAAAACTTCAAAAAACTTTTGGAAAAGTTGAAAAAATGACGAAAGTGTGCAAGCTCGAGAGGCCAAACTGTCGGCGTGTCAATCTGGATGTCGGGATCTCGATGATGATGTGCACCTGTGATGATCGTGGTGCCTCGTGCAGATATGGGCCTGAGCATTTTGACGGCCTTGGTCGGAGCTGTCCGAATAAGGCTTCGACAGACATCTGACAGATGCGTTGTCGCAGAATAGGTGAATCGAAAAGCCCATTAGGGGCATACCGACATCACAACTGTTTTCGACCGAATCTGGGCAGCTTGAAAGTCCTGGGAAGTCCTGGTGTGGACACGCCTAAGTTGCCCACCTAGTTGGTCACTGATTCATATTCTTCTTCTGGCAGCAAAATGCAGATACGATGATTATCACTCATGGCTTCAACAGACATCGGGCTGATCGGGCCGGTCGAGATTGAGATTTCTCACGTCAATCAGATGCAGCAAGCATATTTCACTTTTCGGGACAAATGCCTCACTCAGTACTATGGTGCAGATAATAAACTCTCTTGAAGATAAACTCCCTCGAAGATAAACTCCCTCGAACATAAACTCCCTCGAAGATAAACTCCCTTGAAGATAAACTCCCTCGAAGATAAACTCCCTCGAACATAAACTCCCTCGAAGATAAACTCCATCGAAGATAAACTCCCTCGCCATAATGGAAAAAAGTATACAGTCAAGTTGAGTACACTGGTTTCATTTGCGGAAGCTACACTTGCTCGTTGGAGAAAACGAAAATGGTGAGGAAGAATTGGGGAAAAAATGGAGTGGATCAAGGACACCTTCCTGGGTATTCGACCTCTCCGAGTCGTTGTTTTCACATGTTTGTCTGCCTTCTTTCCTCCTCTTTTTGATGTTTCCACATGACTTTTCTTTTTTCTTTCTTTCAAAAGGGCATCAGCCTCTTGAGATATCATCTCATATCATCGTTGAACTCACCGGTCCCAGGTAATTCAGAAGTAATTTATTCTGGTCATCTGACTGTAACTGGATTCGAACTTGCGTCTGTATTTTCACCAGTTGGTGACCGTGTACCAACTGAGCTAGGCTCGTTGGTAACATGGACTCGAGGGTCTTCATGTTGCCAATCACTTCTACATCTGATTTTGCTTGCCTGCTCGTTCAGGTGTCCACCTTTCGTCGTTTCCACATGTTTGTCTGCCTTCTTTCCTTCCTTCTGCTGTTTTCACAGGACACAAGCTGGAAAATGGAGTTATGATTAAACTTCCTTAAAGACACCTTCCTCCGCACTCGGCCTTTCGTCGTTCTCACATGTTTCAACTTTCAAGTTGTCTGTGCGTCCTTTCCTCCTCTCTTTGGTGTTTCTGCAGGAGACATGGCGCATCTTTATGTTACCCATCACGTTCATTTTCTTGTCTGCTCGGCCAGTCGTCGACATGAGAATATGGAACGAGGATGCATCGAGTTTCAGTGTGGCCACTGCTCGGAGAGCCGGGATGGTTAACGGGACGGCAAAGAAAGCAGCACACACTCTCTGCCTGCAAGCTGTGAGTGAAATTTTTGACTTGTGCCTTAACTTGATTCTGAAAAGCACTGCAAAGCAGAGCTAAGGTATCTGTGAACCGGCTTCTTAGGAAGAAGTTCTTTTCGTGTCCGTTTTGCGGCAACCGCCCCCAACCCCCACCACCGCCCACCGCCCCCACCACCCCCACCACCACCAATTCCGCAAAAGAAAAAACGAAAAAAAAACTGAAAGTTAGTGGTGGTTTAATAACTTCACCTAAGATGAACTGCATATAAACCTGGCCATTATGTCTTGTGCTTTGTCTGAATGTAACCCATGGTTATGCCGGACCCGGACCCGGCGGACCCGAACCCGGACCCGGACCCGGACCCGGACCTGGACCTGGACCTGGACCCGGACCCAGACCTGGGCAGAGTGGGACGGTCAGCTCCTGGATGATAAGACCCTGTAGGCCTGTGCACACACCTAACCATATTGTGTCCATTTGATTGAAGCAGGACTCTAACTAATGACTTTATATTAAGAGTTGCATCTGGGGTCCATCTTTTCTTCCCCCTTTTTCTCAAACTTGATCTCAGCCGTTTGCTCCACTACAGTAACTTAACTTCCTTTCTACCTCTGTCTGCAAATGCTTTTGTGTCCTCCTTGGTGCCTGTTCCTCCCTCCATCATTCCCTCCTTCCTAGTCATCTCCGTTCCTCCCTTCTCGACTCCCTCCCTCCTCTCCCTCCCACCTTATTATCCCGCAGTACCTCTTTTAAGTTGGCGATTCTATCTTGTTATGAGCACATCCGGCAAAAGGGACTGTAGATCTAATTTTATCTTCCCAAAGCCTGTGCCTTGCGACCTTCCTCTCTTTCTGTATGTCTATCTTTCTCTACAAGATATGCAAGCTGCAATTCAGGATATTGCTGGTTTAACCTTGAGCTGCTTCGTTGAGGCAAGGCTAGCCAG